CAGTTATGGAAGTAGCTTAGAATGTCCCCAACATCGATGAAATAGCAATGATGATGGACATTGCTGAGTACCATGCAATAGAAAAACGTTGGAGCAAAGACATCATTTGGCAGGCAGTGGAGAGTGTCTCCTCTCACCTGGTGGAAGGGATGCTGTAACACCTGACTGTTGTCCAGGATTGCTTTAAGAATCCTAAGCATTCTATCCACATGAAGCTGCTGTTGGTTGAACTGGAAGGCTTTTAGCTCAATCAAGATAAAAAAGAGAAATAGACTTAACAAATGAACGCACCTCTAAGCTTGTTTCTATTTCTCAAAATCTCTTGTTTCTGGAGAATCAGTCAGAAGCACAATTAGTGAAGAAGATGCTGTTGAAGTAGATGAGTGGACCAGTTAGGCACAGTTCTTTGGGTGTGCTAAAATTCGTATGTCAATAGTTTTCAGTGCCTTCATTTTTTTTCCTTAAATTTAAACAAACAATGCAAGGGAAGTACATGGTATTGTGTATTGTCTTTACATTTTTACTAGTATTCCAATAAAAATAATTTCTTTCCATGTAAAGCTTTGAATTTGTTTGACTATATAACATTTAAACCACATTAAGTGTACTGTATTTATTTTTTTTCCTAATCAAATATTTCATTTCAAATACTTGTGCCTATTGGGACATACAATTAACATGGGGGTACTTTTTATTTTTGTTTACTAAATATACATCAAATAAACATGGTAAGTCAAGATTGTGCTCTATTTACGGCATTGGAAAAATTTCCAGACAATTTTCCAGAATCTTTTGAAATTTCCAATTCAGAATTTTCTGGAAAACCCACATCTCTGCCAGCCAGTCAGCCACCAGCCTGTACTGGTGCATGAGATTGTTCTGTCCTAAGTGCAGGACTTTGCACTTGTCCTTGTTGTACCTCATGAGATTTCTTTTGGCCCAATCCTCCAATTTGTCTTGGTCACTTTGAATCCTAGCCCTACCCTCCAGCATATGTACTACTTCCCCAGCTTGGCGTCATCTGCAAACTTCCTGAGTGTGCACTCTACAATCTTCCAAATTGTTGGTGAAAATATTGAACAAAATTGGCCCCAGGACCAACCCTGGGGCATTCCACTTGATACAAGCTGCCAATTAGACATTGATCCACTGATTACTGCCCTCTGAGCCTGATGATCCAGCCAGTTTTCTATCCTCCTTTCAGTCCGTTCATCCAGCCCCTAATACTGATGCTGGTGTCCATGACTCACCTTGTCAGTATCATTCTGCCTTTCCTGGAGTTTGAGGGATGTTTGTCTGTGCAGAAGTACCTCCAAAGAACTGTAAGTTTCAAACACTTAAAAGCTAGTTCCCTCCCAACCTTATGTCAGAGGTTTTTAAAACTGTATTGTAGTTTTTGGTCTGCCTTTTTATTTCATTTATAGCTGTGTCACCATCATCTCCCAAGCGCGTGCGTGTGTGTTGCCAGCTCTCTTGATTTCATTCAGTAAAGTCATTCTGCTCCAGGAACGCTTGTTGGTTGCACTTTTTTCCCAGTCTTTTCAAACCCAAAAGATCTAATACCATATTTTACACTCCTTATCCCCAGCCATGTAACTCCCTCTCGGTCTTCAGTCTCCTTTGTTCCTCCTGCATCCTTAGGGTTGTTCCATTCTCCTATGCCAGGCCTGGGAATGCAGCGGCAGCAGGGTCATCTTCTCCATATTCCCTGGTCTACAGACAGCTCTGGGGGAAGCAGGACAGCTACATGGATTCTTCACAGCTTTGCCCTCCCCGGGCTAGTGTTGTATGCTTGGAGGCCAGAGGAGCTGAAAGCTGCTCCCTCTTTCACAGGGGAGGGGGAAGGAGAGAGGGAACATAGTTGTTCTTAGCTGCTGGGCTCTTCCTGCTCACTTCTCTTTCCCTTTTAGGCAAATATTGCTACTTTTCCTCTGAAGAATAAATAATTATAGAAAATTAGGATTGGAAGGGACCTTAGGAGGTTATCTAGTCCAACCCCCTGCTCAAAGCAGGACCAGCCCCAACTAGATCATTCCAGCCAGGGCTTTGTCGAGTTGGGCTTTAAACCTCCAAGGATGGAGAATCCACCACCTCTCTAGGTAACCTGTTCCAGTGCTTCACCACCTTCCTGGCGAAACACTTTTTCCTGATGTCCAACCTAAACTTTCCTTTCTGCAACTTGAGAGCATTGCTCCTTGTTCAGTCATTTGCCACCACTGAGAAGAGTCCCCCTTCGTCAGCTTTTGAACCCCTTTCAAGTAGTTGAAGGCTGCTGTCAAATACTCACTCACTCACTCTTCTGCAGACCAAATAAGTCCAGTTTCTCCAGCCTGTCCTCAGAAGTCATGTGTTCCAACCCCCAATTCTAGAGAAGATATTGCCTTCTGGCCTCTGCCAAGTCCTTATTTCCTTGTATTTTCCCAGAATGGTAGGAAGTGGAGAAATCGGCCATTAGAGGGTTCCCCCATCCCCCCACCCGAACTAGAAGCAATAGCAAGGTTTAGAGCTTCTTGCAAGTTCATGAGACTGGCTCAGCAGAAGTCAAAATTACATTGCTTGTGATAAAATTGAAAGTTGGTAAAAACTGAGTTTAGGTTCTTGGCTAAAAATGGAAAAGGGATGGCCTCGTGACTTGATGGCAGTCTGAGTTTGATTGAGCTTTGATTCCCTAAACTTGAGAGAGTAATTTTCTTCATTGTAGTCTGGACAGAAATTAAATCATCATAGGTTTGTGGAGACTCTTTTGAGTTGTTAGGCCCAGGTATTGTAATGGGTATGGTACTGTCTGATTCCTAGAGTAGAATACAAATCTTTTCAGCAGTTGTATAAGAAACTGTCAACAAAAATAAGTATGGGTCCTTTACTATCATATTCTAATGTACAAAGCTTGCTTCAGAGCTTTTGTGGTATTTTAGGTTGACTAAATCCTGGTCTGAAAAGTGTCCATGTACTTCCATGTCTGATATTGTTTTGTTCATTTTTCAACTTAATATTTAAATTAGAATGGCACTTTTTGTAAGAAGTTCTTCAGTCAAAGAGAGAGGGAATTGACCTCATGTTCTAATGTAAAAATCAAACAAGAGAGTCTCTTCCAACTTAATATCATTTAGAATAATCTGTATGTATTCTAAAGGGACTCTCAGGGTAGGCTCACAGTATTCAGTAGTGTTTACATAAACCAGGTAATTGTTTGGGGGAAAGAAGGGGAGTAGATCATCTTTCTGAACATTGATCATGCAAATCAACTCAAATGTTTTACCTAAATTCAAGATGGAAATGTATAGTTCAGTTTTGGGAAACTAATTAAACTTTCTATTCAGCTGTAGATACTTATCTCCTATTTCTTTTTTGAATAATTGCTTAAACCCCTAGCATGCATTGAGGAAAGATAAGTACTAAATCTACAATTTAAAAAGAGCTAATTTTTTAATTAAAAAGAAAACCATTGAAATGACAAAATGTTACCCAAGAACAGTCAAATCCTTATGAGATTTTTATTTCTTTTTGGTAGGAAACTTATAAAATGATGGTGTATCCTGATTTAAGCACACATTGTGGGTGCTTTAACATTGAAATTTGAACTTTAAGCAGCTCCTCTGACTAGTTACTAAATAAAGTACTAAGTTTCAGGGTGCCATGTTATAAGTAGCAACAGTTGTTAATACTACAGTGACTGGGGTTTATTATAAATGTTGGTCTGTTGGCGCATGTTTGCATACACATAGGATTAAAATAGATGTAATGTGGATATGTAGTAGTAAATAACACTACTTCGAGGCAGCTTGAAGTAGTGTTATTTACAAACTAATTTCAGTAGCCTTATTTCATTAGGTCATCATTCATTTCTAATATTAAATGCAAATATCCAAGTACAGCTAAGTGTACTATAAATTCACAGAGTTTTAACGGTTGCACCAAAAGGGCATGTCCTCATGAGCATGCACGTGTGGTTTGCAGCACCTCAAAGCAGATTGAAGTGCTGCAAACCACATGCAATGCATGTGCACCTGTTTGCCACGCTGCTAATTTGCAGCGCAGCGGGGCTTGGGTTTGTTTGATTTTTTGACACTGGGAGATCCTGGTGTCAAAAAAACCCACCACTAAAAACAGCCTTGTGGCATGTGTGTCAGCAGCATGTGCCGCAAGGAAAGGAGCCTGGCACCTGTGCTGGCCCCAGCCTCCCCTTCCCTAGCTGGGTCACTTTGCTGCACACTGGAGCAGCATATATTTGTGCCACTGTTATTTGTCCCATGGGAAACCTGCACCCCTGCAAGTGTGCGCTCTTGGGGATGCGACCAAAGTGTTTAATATCCATCCTCCTATAACCTATTGCACTATCTTTTTCAGTAATACCCTAGCTCTGTGATTACACGTGTGTTCTTAATTTCAAACCAAAAAAATGATTTATAGCTGACTTGCTATAAAATCAAATCAATCTGAAGTTATAAATACCTTTTTCAAAGCAATCGTATCTAAATTACCTGATGGTATCAGTTTGATTAGTCTGTACTGATCAGCATTAAAGTGTCTTATTTTTTTCAGAACAAAAGAGATGAACATCTTTTGAAAAAAAGAAATGTTCCCCAAGAAGAAAGTTTAGAAGACTCTGATGTTGATGCTGACTTCAAAGCAGTAAGTTGCTTGATTCTGCAACTGCTTTTAAAATGCAATGTCTAGAAAACTTTTGTTCTTTTTTTCATTCACTTGAATGATTTGAGTTTTATATTCAGTTACAAAAGTATGGAATTGGACACACAGCAAATATGAAAGGGCATAATGCCATTGAAGTTAAGGTAGTTCCACTATACATCAGTGCTCAAATGTTTGTTCAAAAGTTTTACTATTTAATTTAACTTTAGTCTTCCTGTTGCTAAGTAGTCTTTCTCTTTTTTTCAAGCAAAATGTAACACTAGAAGCTATATTGCAGGTATGTTGAGTTATATATCTTCATTTTTTAAAATTAGCACTTAATGCCAATTTTGAGGTTTTTTAAAAGATTTTTACTGTTATATTACAGAATGCTACAAGCGATAACCCTGTAATCCAGCTGAGTGCTGTACAAGCTGCAAGGTAAAGAAAAAACAGTATGCATACTACTTACAAAAATTTTCTTTGATTTAAGTTGTTTATTCATCTGTCATATTTTAATTTTACAGAAAATTGTTGTCTAGTGACAGAAATCCACCTATTGATGACTTAATAAAATCTGGAATTTTGCCAATCCTGGTAAAATGCCTAGAAAGGGATGATAAGTAAGTATACAGTTTAAATTTCCTCCTTTCATCAGTTTCTGTGATTAAAAGCCAGTCTAATATATATACTAGATATATTTTTTTTTTATATTTTATATATATAAAAAACAATTAAAAAATTATGGTCCAGAGCCAATGTAGTCTGTGGCAGTCTGTTTGCTTTTTTCACCTTGCATGTGTATAGCTGTGATTGATATGGCTGAAGGGACCTCATGAAGCAATCTTGTCCAACCTCCTGCTCAAAGCAGGACAGTCCCCAACTATATCCTAGCTAAGGCTTTGTCTACCCAGCTCTTAAAAACCTCAAAGATTTGAGATTCCACAGGCTCTCTGGGTTCCAGTGCCTTACTACTTGTCTAGTAAGAGAGTTTTTCGTAATACCTAACCAAAACCTCACCCATTTCAACCTGAGACCACTGCTCCTTGTTCTGTCATCTGCCACCGCTGAGAACAGTTTAGCTCCATCCTCTTTGGAACTACCCTTCAGGTAGTTGAAGGCTGCTATTTAATCCCCCCTGTCATCTCTTCTCCAGATTAAATAAAACCAGTTCCCTCGGCCTCTCCTCAGAAGTCATGTCCCCCAACCCTTTAAATATTTTTGTTGCCCTTTGTTGGACTCTTACCAATTTGTCCACATCCTGTCTGTAGCAAGGTGCCCAAAACTGGACACAGTATTCCAGATGTGGCCTCACTAGTGCTGAATAGAAGGGGAATAATCAATTCCTGCAATCTGCTGACAACACTCCTACTAATGCAGCCCAGTGTGTCATTAGCCGTCTTCACAACAAGGGCACACTGTTGGGTCATATTCAGCTTATTGTCCTCTGTAACTCCCAGATCTTTTTCTGCAGAGCTGCTGCTTAGCCAGTTAACCCCCAGCCTGTACCAGTGCATGAGATTAGTCTTTCCCAGGTGCAGGACTTTGCACTTGTCCTTATTAAACCTTATGAGATTTCTTTTGGTCCAGTCATCCAATTTGTCAAGGTCTCTGAATCCTAGCCCTACCCTCCAACATATCTACTACTCCACCCAGTATGGTGTCATCTGCAAACCTTCTAAGAGTGCACTCCATCCCGTCTTCCAGACTGTTGATGAAGGTATCAAACAAAACCAGTCCCAGGACTGACCCTTGAGGCACTCAACTGGACGCCAGCTGCCAACTAGACATCAAGCTGTTTGATTACTGCCCTTTTTAAGGATGACAATCCAGCCAGGTTTCTGTCCACCTTACAGATGGTTCATCCAACCCATACTTCCTTAACTTGCTCTTGAGAATTATACGGTTTCCCGCAACAAAAGCCTTGCTAAAGTCAAGGTGCATCACATCCACTTCTATATCCAGAAAGCCAGTCATCTCATCATAGGAGACGATCAGGTTGGTCCAGCATGACTTGTCCTTGGTGAATCCATGCCGACTGTTCCTAATCACCATCTTCTCTTCCAAGTGCTTAGGAGTGGATTCCTTGAGAACCTGCTCCATGATTTTTCCAGGAACTGAGGTGAGGCTGATCTGGCTGTAGTTCTCTGGATCCTCCTCCTTCCATTCCTTAAAGATGGGCACTGCATTTGCCCTTTTCCAGTAGTCTGGGACCTCTCCCAATCACCACCAGTTTTAAAAGATAACAGTTGGCAGTTTTGCAGTCACATCGGCCAGCTCCCTCAGCACCCTTGGGCACATCGTGTCCATCCTCATGGACTTGTACACATCTACTTTTTCTAAATGGTCCCTAACCTGTTCTATCACCACTGTTAGCTACTCACCTCTCAACTGCTGCCAGGTGCAGTAATCTGGGAGCTGACCTTGCCTGTGAAGACTGAGGTAATATTATGGATATAACTGAGATCATGAATATAAAATCTGTCAGCTATTTTTGAGAATGAGGGTTTTTTTCTTTCTGTGCTGTCCAGGCAGCCTATCTGAAGGATGTTTTTCTAGCATCGTTCTATAGGCAGCTCAACTCAGAAACCTCCCTCCCTCTGCCTCCCTCACTTCCCATCTCCCTTCTCGCAGACTTGCACATCTTTCATGTATGCCAAAGAAAGGGGTCTGCATATTTTTTCAGTCGTTCTTAACTTCCAAATCTATGCTTCTGACTCCCTTAGTTCTTTCTACAAAAAGCAAGTCAGTGACACCATAGAGACTAACTAATTCAGAGAGACTTAAGCTTGTGTAAGCAATCTTGCCTTGTCGGCTGCTATAAATGGACCTGTAGAGTCTGCTCTACTGTGCCTTCTGAATTCAAATTAACTAATCTTAAATAAACATAACTAAACAATAACATCTCTTACTGCAAGTTGCATTTCATTTCTTGTTCTGCAACTCCAGGCTGCCTGGTTCAGTAACTTACTATACAGTAAGTATGCACTGCAGTCTGACTCCTCCTTGTGGGGAGAGCAGGAGAGAGCAAGAAGCAGCTGCAGGCAAGTCCCAGTAGGGCAGGGGTTCAGAAAACATTTGGCATGTGGCCACCACAATTCTGTGGCTGTGGACCATGGTGTACACACACTGCTGGCTTAACTACCACTTATTATAGAAGTGCCTAGTAGTGACATAATTAGAGTTGCATTCTAAAATGGAGCATACATTTCAGTTTTTTTGTGAAAGTAGGTGACCCAGGCAAAAATTTCATATCCTGTGAATTTTCTGTGTAGCTTTCTATGTATGTTTTTTTTCTTCATACATTTTTAATATAAAGTCTTTTGAAATGGGCAGAATTCTTTCTGGGCAATTCTTTTCATTGTTGACTTGATGTTTTGATCCTTGGTATGGCTAGATACTGAATAAATGTTGTTTTTTGTTAATTAAAGTTAGATTAGAGTCACTTTCAGCTGTTGTTCATGTTGTTCTTAAAATTTGTGCTGCTTTCACAAATCTGATAGCTGGGCAGGGGAATAGGGTGTGCAGAAGCCTGATGGTGTCATGTTGCATTTACATAAAACCTTTTCCAGGAGCTACAGATTTGTTGGGTAAAAACCCTTCTTTGTATGATAAAAATACATCAACAGAGAAGGGTTGATGAATATAATCTTCTCTGTTGGCAGATACTTTTCTGTCCTTCCTGGGTCTGCATAGCCCATTCCTTTTCTAGACCATCCTTGAACAGTAAAATGTCTAGGAAGTGAACACACAAAAATCTTAGTTAAGCAGTTGGGGTCATGACTTATTCAACATAAACCCACTAATGCTGGAAATCAAAAATAAAGCCATTTAACAATACGTACTCTCTACTTCTATACCCAACGCAAGCCCCTTACTTTTACTACGGCTGCCATAAACTACAGACAGTGTGCTATAACTTTCATTCTGCCTCCTTTTGTGTAAGTGCTAACCACAAACTATGAACAGTCCTTTATCTAAATACTGTGTCTTAGATCATACTTATGCTATATTCAGTGTGTATGGTTTTAGATCATGGGTATCCTTTCCTAACACTTGCAATATTTCTTATTAATCTAGAGCCTGTTGAACAAGGTGTAGTCCCCTGCCTTTTTAGGTTGAATTGTGACAGGAGCAGCATCCACTAGCCTCATTCCCATTCCAGTGCTGGCATGAAACACTAAATAATGCATTTTCAACACCACTTCAGTGGGATATAAGGCCAGATGGATCCAGTTAGTAGCAGTTATGGTTAGTGACTGTTGATACATGGTTGTGAATTGGTATGAAAACAGCAGAATCCCTTACCATTAACTTGAGGGCACTACCACTTGTGTATGTACCTATGAACATCTTGTGGGGGGCGTGAAGCTTTACTCCCTGTCCGTGCTTCGTGGCAACTGTTTATCTGAATGTTCATAACCTGGGGTAAGTAGAAGCTAGACCAGTATAACTTAGACCTCAGTGAAAGAAATCTGAATTCATGAGATCTTAACAAGGGCAGCAGAGGTCAGATGTTTTAGTGGTTTTCCTCATTTTTGCTCCCTGAACATTGCAGCGGCAGCACCCTGAGTTCTTGTAAAGGTAATGGGAAACTTCATTGTGAAACCAAATGATTACTTGAACTAGGCACTATATGGAGTTCTGTTGTCTTGTTTTATCTTTAGGGTTACAAGCATAGTTGTTGTTGCACCAAAATGTACCTTTTTAGGAGAAACATTGCAGTTATGGGTGCACTAAAAGATTTTATGAGCCAATACCAATAGCCAATTATTAACAAGTCATGTCGGTGGATACCAATCCACTTGTCGATATGCAGCCCAGCAGCTTGGAGAGCAGTATCTGGCTAGTAGGTCTGTCGGTGGTTTGGGTGGGGGAGGGGAAGGAATGTGGTGGGGGCAGATCAAGGCCCCTGCAGTGAGAGAGGGAGTGCGGCAGGTGCTGCTCAGCCAGGGCTGGGTTTGGGATGGAGCTGCAAGCAGCTCAGCCGGGGGGTGCAGATCCCACTGCTGTGTGCACCCCAGGGGGTCCATGGGGGTCATGTACCCCCTGGATCTGTGTGCAGGGTGAGAGCAGACTGCCACTGTGTGCTTGGGGCCAGGAACTGCACCAGCTTCTTCGTGGTGGGGCACCTGGCATGGAGCTGTGCTTGGGGTGGGCAGCAACACTAGGAGGGGTGGCTATGGCAGAGGGGGAGGGGGGAGGGATACAGCCACCCCAAAATTCACTGTTGCCCCCTCTGCCAGCATCACTGATGCCCAGCCTGAGCACTGCCCCCCCCACCCTGGCTAGGAAGAGTCTGGTGTTGCCCATGG